GTCTGCTCCGGCAGACCTGCGAACACCAAATTATCCCTCATGCTACGGGCCTGAAGGTCCAAAACCGTCTTCTTCAGAGTCTTGTTGTCCTGGGTGATCTGCGTCATTCCCTCTTCCAGGGAAGAAACGGACTCCCGCAGAGACGCGTTCTCAGCGGGGAGCCGCTCCACCTGCTCCACGCTGAACTCCAAAGATGTTCGGAGGTTCTGAAACTCCTGGTGTAGAACCTCAAGCAGATGTAGTCGCCCCTCAATTTTTTATTCGACAAAAAACCATAACATCCGAGGTATAAAACTACGCCACGTCAGCTCTAACGCCAGTTCAAAGCGTTCCAGAGAAAGTGACGGAGTGGCCAATCCTGATCTGAACTCTTTAACCGAAAGAACAATGACAAGCTGAAAAATCCAGTCGCTATTCCAACAGCGGCAACAGTTCCTTTCAGAACAAAAGCTCAACCATCCGGACCCGGGCTTGGGTCTCACCAGACGCCAATAACTTGTCGTGTACCCGGATGTAACTCAAGACGGGTTTGATCGGAACCACGGCTTTTCCTACCGGCTCGGTTCCAGAGAGGGTCCACTGGACCTCGATATTCCTGATCTACAGAGGACTTCCACTAAGGGTAGGTAGACCGGCATGATGGTGTCTCATGTGTTTAGGAACTTCCGAACCAAAGCTTAATGCGAGGACAACAGCTTCAGTTCCCGTCAGAACTAATCGCTTCTTCGGATTAGCTGGTTCTGATTTAACATCACACGTCATCCATTTACCGTCCCATCCATTTTAGTTACACGTCTAGTTTAATTTGTTAGTAATAAAATTCTTAACTTTTAAACTTGACTCTCTCTATTCTGTTGTCTCTGAGTGAATACGTAGTGGTTATCTAATCCCTGCAATAAAAAGATCCAATCTTCTGGTTTAAATAACTTTGCGATCCGTAAGGTAGATTTCATATTTCCTAAGGAATCCCACGCCTTATGGCTCATTAAATAACTGAAATCCATTTAATTACATCAAATAATTAAAAAAATCATCAGCAGAGAAGAATCGTATTGAATTGTATCAGTGGAGGGTTTCACCGTATCGTTAATGTTTCGTATCACTGCTAGCAGAGGTGTGGACTCAAGCCACATGACTTGGACTCGAGTCAGACTCGAGTCATTATTTTAATGACTTCTGACTTGACTTGATAAAATCTATAATGACTTATGACTTGACTCGGACCTCAACACCAATGACTTTCGACTTGAATCGACTTGCATCTGTTGACTTGATGATGACTTGAGCATATTTAATGTTTTAGCACAAAAGTGGCCCGACATGGACAAAAATCATAAATTATTCTTCGTTCTGGGTTTGATTTACTGCTAAATGCAGCAGCTCTTTGTTTATAATCTGTTTCAGTTGCACTTCCTGCGTGTTTGAGCAAATAAATGAAGCTTTAAGAAGCTTTAATACAAGAATTTATTTATTATCATTGTCATTAAATTGAAGTTGGACAGATGGCTTGATTATGACTTGAAAGTTCAAAGTTAAGGACTTGGACTCGACTTGGACTTCCACATCACTGACTTTAGACTTGACTCGAACTTGGTTGTCTTTGACTTGGACTTGACTCGAGACTTGACTGAAAAGACTTGTGACTTGCAAAGCAGTGACTTGGTCACACCTCTGACTGTTAGTGATTTGCCTGAGTGGTGGGGATTCACATCCCTACTCTACACATACCCCTTCTTGGCTTGGAGCAGCTGAACAGGAAGCGAAGCTAGAGCTGGACTGTCTAATGTAACACACTCAGCGTACCGTTCTGTTGGTCGTTTTTCATTGAAGGAGTACTTTTACATGTTCTGTCCTCGGTGGGAAATGTTTAGGATTTCCCAGATTGTTGGTGGCTTTAATATGTTGTGATTCTGAAGCTAAAAACTGCTCTGTTTTTACCATAACAATGCCTCAAAATCGCAGAAAAGGTGCCAACAACAGGTAAGTCAACGCAAGATTTTATGGTGGACAGTATCCGTTGCTTCCAGTGTTTTACTACTTTTTGCAACCATCAGAGTCTGTGACTTGGGGGCTGGACCTTAGAATAATTTTTTTTCTTTAAACTGTAGCTTGCTTGAACATCTTTCCCCCAGAATGTCTACTATACCTTTAATTGGCACTGCGGCTGACGATTAAAAAAAAAATAAGACAGCGCTGTTTTCTGCTCCCTCCCCTCTATAAGACAGGTCAAGACTGATTTTTCCATTCATTGGGCTACGTCAGATGCAAAGCATGTCTTGTGCAGAGCCAGATGAAAGTTACTCATCTTTGCATGAACCCACACTATACCTCAAAGAAGGCTCAGTTCTTGCTTTGATCAACTCCTTACAAATCTCCAATCCTAATTCTTGTTTTCCTTTTATGATGCATTCATTCACTTTTTATTATTACCCTTAGATTTACTCTTTCTACTGAAACTACATACATTACTAATTATGCAAAGGCTACTCACTTATGTTGACAGGGCCTGGTGACTGCCTGTGTGTTCTGATGCCATTAAATCGGTTAGTTTGTAGAGTAATAGCTTCCCTCACAACACATACATGAAAATACTCACGGACTGCACAGTTCTGCTTTCCATACCTCTGCAGACCTCGTGTAATTGCTTCCACATTTTCTGACTAAGCAGCTGTTTGTATTTTCCTCTAGGTCCAGGTCTGAGAATTTACTTTGGTAGTGTGATCTGGATTCGGTTTGCTTTTGTTTCTAATAAAAATATAGAAAAGGTGTAAAAATGTATTGAAACCAGACATATATGACAGTGTGAGGATATAGAAAGCTAGAAGGGGATCCTCACAAAGTCTCACATTTCTTGCACTTTCTGACTCAAAGTGATTAAACTGAAAACTCCATCCTTAAATTCTGTTAACTTATGCAATGGTATTTTAAGATAGACTAACACCTCCTTTCCACCAGAGGTAAAAGGATCATGAAACAGCTGTGAAACGCCAGCAAAATGTACTTTGTGGTAATTAGCCACTGTTATAGTGGGTGATTTCCTGTCCACTGCCAGCCAAGTGTACAGTTTTGGATGCGTCCCACAAGTGAGGGGACTCTTTCATTACGTTTCGAGTCTATTTTTACACACACTGTTAACCAAAACATGTCAAAATAAGCGGTTTAGATCAGGACGTACAGGAAGTCAAACACAGTGTATAACATCCGGAAACATCCAAAATAAAAGTCAAGTGCAGATAAACGTACATCACTTCCTGTGAAACCCCTGCAGCCGGTGTAAAAAACAAAACAACCCACAAACCAGCAAGAGGCCGACTGATATGGATTTTTTTAAGGCTGATGCCAATACCGATTTTTAAAGAATTTTGTCGCAGATGGCCGATATCTAAAACCGATTATTATCTCATTCACTGACAATGATGACTTAAGGCGTCATTTGCATTTTTTTACTGTGTGAGCATTGGAACGAGCCCTTGCACTGTGAGAAGAACCATCTCAGCTCTAAAGCCGATCCTCATCCGCATGCGTCATACATCAAGTGATCAGGAAGCAGAACATCCATGTGTTAGGAGATCATTCTTGGCCGCTGCTGTAAAAAAAGTGAGGCGCAAACCAGAAAAGCTTCTGCCGATCACAATTCAACAACAGATTATGAAAGAACGGATGAAGCTTGAAATGCGCAGATTCTTCCTGATGTAAGAGGTGAGTCTCCACTTTGTTGTTTTGGCGTCGACATCGTCCTAGCGCACAACGTTCTGTGACTCTTAAAAAACAGTAAAAATGGTGAGAAACGCTGGCAGCGAATGAGTTAAGGCTGATATACATACGTAGGTTTTAGCAGCACATTGATTGTGAAAGACAACGGAACACTCACTGTGTGCAACATAAATTAAATAAGTCAACAAATCACTTCAAATCAACTTTTACTCCATGATGTAGACTTAAACTCCTGCAGCGCAGAGGAAACGTGTTAAATACGTCAACACGGTGGATTTACTAGAAGCTTTAAAGAACAAACTCTGGACGGTGTGAGGTGAGTTTGTCTCACTGCAGAAATAAAAACACACACGGAGCGTCAGCAGTCAGACGCAGCCTCACCAACACTCGTGTGTGTGTGTGTGTGTGTGTGTGTGTGTGTGTGTGTGTGTGTGTGTGTGTGTGTGTGTGTGTGTGTGTGTGTGTGTGTGTGTGTGTGTGTGTGTGTGTGTGTGTGTGTGTGTGTGTGTGTGTGTGTGTGCTCTGTCTTCTCCATCCCCAGTGAGTCGTGGAGGATGGCTGCTTATACTGAGCCAGGATTCTCTGGAGGTTTCTTCCTGTTAAAAGGGAGTTTTCCTCTCCACTGTCGCTATATGCTTGCTTAGTATGAGGATTGCTGTATAGTCACTGACACTAGTCAGTGACTAGATGCAATTTGCTGGGTTCCTTATATAGGAAACATTATTTCTGATTGGCTTAATGAACTGACCTCAATTGGAATGTTTATTATGTGAAGTTCCTTGAGACGACTCTTGTCGTGATTTGGTGCTTTATAAATAAACTTGAATTGAATTGAAAACTTGAATATACTTATTGATATAGTCATGATAAAAATGGCTTGTAGCTCAAATGGAACATCAGAATGTCGTAGGAAAGATATTTAGGTGGCTTTGAATGTCTATGGATTGCAAATATCAGTCCAAAAAGTAGAAACTATCCAGTGAGCAACAGTTGTGATGTCAGAAGTCAGCTAAGAACAGGAAACTGAGGTGACCATTCTCACAGGATCACCAGAACTGGTCCAGAAGGGACTGCAAAACCTTTCCTGGTCTGACGAGTCTGGATTTCAGCTGCAACATTCAGATGGTCGGGTCACAATTTGGTGTCCCCGACATGAAAGCATAAACAGCATATGAAGCATGATGACATGGCAACATAAAAATGTTGCCATGTCATCATGCTTCATAAAAACTTTCCAAAGTTCTTTTCCTGCATTGGAAAAAGCTCCACTAAATTCAAACTCATACCTTCTGTGCTTCCATCTTTCCCCGTGATGCACTTTATGGCACGTATGATCTGTTCTGTGATGGCGGGGGACATGGCTGAGGCGTACACTGCACTGTGAGACTGAGAGCGCAGGTAATCCACCAGCTCCTGTAACATTAAACGCAGGGTCACACTCACATTTAGCAAATATTGGTTAAAAAAACACATCTGCTCACAGATTTAACCTTTCCAGCTCAGAAATGTGGTCCTGCATTTATATTTTAGCACCACCAGAGAGAGCTCATGGACTCCAACACCTGAGAGGTCAGTAAAATACCTCCGGACGTTTCTCCGTCACTATGACTACCTCGCTAGTTCTGGAACATTTCCCACTCTCCACTCGGAGGGAGCCAGCACTCTCAATTTGAAAAAGCACCAATGACAAACTGAGCCAGAATGAGGATTGTCATACTCATTATCCTGAAATGTCAGCGGGAGAATAATTCAGCCAGTGGTTGACAAGAGAGAAGCAGAAATTCAGGAAAGCGATTCGCTCGTTGCTCTGAGAACACGAGTGTGTGAGCGAGTGGAGGCTGGGAGCGCGCCCGAAGCTGTGATGGGCCGCTGCTCGGTTTAGGCGAGCGGGTGTGGGGTGACGACACAGAGATGATGATGTCTGGCCACCACTTCCACTCGCCACCATCTGCCCCTGCTGGGCGGCGGTGGCTGCGGCTTCCTCAGACACGTGAGGGATTGAGATTTTAGCTCAAACTTATAAAGGGGAGAGGAACTCTGGAACAACCTGACATCTGCTTTTATTTAAGGCAGGAGATTTTCACAGCTTTGTGGTCCCTGAGGATTTCTGTGGAACCAAGATAAGCTGGTTAAGAGAACATGTCTGAAATCCATCTCATGCCTGGGGCCCGGAGTGACAACTCCGGGTGTTTCTTAAGCCGCACAGTGGTCAGAGGACTGGCGTGGCATGTTTATTCATAAAGCCACACAGCAGGACTGGTTCCAGGACATTACTGTACACACTTTAACTTCAGTTTTTAGAAAAAGGTTCATCAATAATTCTTTGTAAATGCAAAACTACAGTAAATTGTAAGGACCTTGACATGTATTTACTGGGGTATTTATTTTCGTACGCTCATAAAATAGCAATAACCCGACCATTATCCAGAACACATCTGCTGAACCTTTTTTTCTTTTTGGGGTCAACCCATTTCCACTTAATGGAGGATTTGGGGCACATCACCACAACAACAAATATGTCAAATCTTAAGCTTTTCACTCTCTTTTCCGGCTCCCCTGTTTTTTCCCTTCAAGACTTTACAACAGCCAGCTGTCAAAGCAGGCGGCCCGCTCATACTTCAAACATTATCATGCTCGTTAAAAGTCATCCTGTTAAATCTGGAGCGCAGTTCCGATGCGTGCCACAAGAAGGGGCTGGCTCGCGGCCAGCTTTACCTTCTTATTACGGCAGAGCAGGACAGAGTTAAGGCCCGGCAGAGAAAGGAAGGGACCCTCTTTCACTACTGGAATCAAACAACAAGGCTGTTTCCTTTCTTTCTAATTAACAGCCACAAAACCAGTGCGGTTATGTACTAAAGTGTACTTTTTAATAGAGTAAAACAAAATTACAAAGGCCCAGAGTGGCAGCTTGTGTGACATTTGTTGCACACATGCAGTCTACAAGAAGAGGTGGTGTTTCAGGTGGTTTGACTCATTCAACCTGAAAGAAAATCACATAATTCTAACAATTATACAAAATCCTCTAGTTCATGAGAATGTGTTTTTCTTTGCTGTGCTTCATCTCACAGTGCCAGATAAATTAATTAAACAGCAACATGAAAGCCGGTTTAGCTTGTAATGATAAAGAGTGCCAGTCTGATTAATTCTAGCTCACCCCGCGACCCTGCGTGGACAAGTGGGTTCAGATAATGGATGGATGAATGGATAATTCTACCTCAGCTGCGACACTTCCTCTGGAAGAATCATTTTCAGGATTTTATCTTTTCATGAATTAGGGGATGTTTTGTGCTTCCCAGACCAGAGTCTACAAATTTATTGTTTTACTCCACATTAAAAAGTAAAAGGAATTCTTTGACTTTATGAATCAACAGGTTGGGAGAAGGAAGCCACTGCCAAATTCATCCCACAACTTTGGTTGCTGTTGGTTAACGTTTGGGTATGAACCACTGCTTGTTGAAAACTTCTACTTTCGTAGTTTTTAAATTCTTAAAGTGGGCCTACACTCGTTATTTCAATAAATCTGCTGTTGTCTCCCGTGTAAATAAATGCCTTGTGAGTCGTTTTCAGTGGAAAACAAGCTCTTGCGATTCTGTTTCAGGAAGTAGAAGTAAGCCGGAGGAGTGGAGGGTAGAAAACAGCAGAATTTGGAGTCTTACTCATTATTATTCATGAAATGCAAAAATCTCACCTCTGATTGGCTAACAGCAATACGACCACACCACTGCCTCTGTTTGCTTTGCAACGCTGATCTTTTATCTAAATAACACAAGCCTGAAGGAGTTCTGCCATGTTGTGGCCTTGCTAATGCTAAAGGTTAGCTTCTACTAGCTGAGATGTGCTCTGCTCTCTCCCGGATGCTAAATCAACAACAGCCTTCCCCGGTCACGAGCCAAGATGGCTGAGTCCATTAATGCTCATTTTTAGTGTGATGTCGATCTGTTTTTTTCTAACCCGAGCGTTTCCTCGCCAATGGAGAGCCTAAGTCTCCTCCCTTTCTGGGTCCCCAGAAGAATGAACAAATGAATGCAAGCCACTGGAGCTACAAGAGCTATTTTCTAATCCACTGTGCTTTACACCCTGAATCGCACATATGTTGTATTTCAATTTAAATGAAAAGAAATGATGTGTGATTCGACCACGCCAGTCACGCACTTTGAGATTTAACAGCTTGTGAAAATTCGTAATGACTATGACTACAAATCAGACGTCGGTACGTCGCATAGATGACGTCACCACAGAATCTCCCCTAGCATAGCTGCTACGTACCACAAGGCCAGATTCATGGTGGTTCTTTTCCCCCGAAGGAAGGATTCGAATTTCGCTGAACTTACAGCCATTTTTCCTCTGCTCTTCTCCGTGTCTGGTTCAATGACGTCAATTTGGTGAAGCACATTTGTAGTTCTGGACGTATTTTACCATAAAACCTAAAACAACTTTTGCCCCCTTAAAAAAAGGCACTTTCTTAGCTTCAGAATGTGTTTCACAGACATTGTATGTGAAATCCATGGCACATAACGAATGAGATAAGAAAATAGCATTTTTAGCCCCACGGACTTGCATTCATTTTTTCGGTCCTCCAGGGACCCATGGTCTGGAAGTAGATGGGTGTGACTTAGGCTCCCGGTTTTCATTTGCTACAAGAAATAGGGGTAGAAGACCATTTTCACATCTAGCCTGCATGTGAAACTCAGAGTGACCAATCATAAGTATTACACGTTTCTCACTGAACCTCCACTTTAATGTAAAATAGCAAAAACAGGACAGTAACACATTTAACAGTGTTTTGCAGAACTATTTCAGACACTCATCGCTGGAGGAGAGGATCTTCCTAATTATTTTCCTGACATACCTGACCTTGTTTTAGGAAGCAGTCGAGCAGTTGCTCCTTTTTCTTATTTCTTTCCCATGAGAGGCAAATTCCTCCTGATCTCAGAAGAAGGTAAATATTTCACACTAACAGCATCTTACAAACACTGCAGCTTTTAAAGTATCAGGTACTTTTTGCCACAGCAGAGATCTATAGAAACAATTGTGGGTTTTCTTCTACATTATTAGGCCCGTTTCCACTATCGGAATTACCTTCAAGGTATGTGCGTGTCTCCATTTCACCAAGCCGGCCAGAAAGGATCACTTTCCAGGCCATTTCAGGAATCAACCAAGTATTTGAGTGGGGTATGTACTCTGATACGCCAGTAGAGTCGCTGGGCTTGACTTTGGTTTGCTCACGCTGATTGTTTGTAACTCAGTAGGAAATTATTTCAGAAGACAACACCAAACAACTGGCATTTGTAAAATTCGAAGAGCTGCTGATGAAGGAGAATGGGAGGAAAAAAATAAGCAGGGTTCATGTTGCTTTAAAATAGTTATTTCTGACTCTGGTCTCCTACAGAATGCCATAAAAAGGACCTTCGGGTCATTGAAGCTTTTTACGTCACGCAACTGCTCTCATATCTCTCGAATTGATTAAATTTTGGCATACATCGACAAAATCAAACTTTTAATCTTATCAATGTCCGTGGACACGTTTTGCTGCTGATCAGTGATGCCACTCACTGCCGAAACGGTCCAGATATGCTGGTGTCTTGCCAAAGTCTATAAAGGGCTGATTCTGTATGGAGACCGAGTCAGACAGAGCTCCTACAGTGGAAACACGGCGAGTGCGTGATGCCTGATTTAAGTCTAGATAAAGATGCTGTCAGTTTGGAATGAGATGCAAAGGTGAAAGTTGTACAAACACAAAAGCTCAACTTGCAGGAGAGGTCCAATCCTCCAGTGAGAGATTTAGATACTTTAGACAAATCTATAGAGCACCTAATGACAGACAGATAAAACAGAAAGTGTGAAAATGGACAACCTTTTTCCCTGCGATGTAGCCTCCAGCTGCCCCGAAGCTCTTCGTGAAGGTTCCCATCATCACGTCCACATCACCTGGATTCACATTAAACAGCTCGGTGACACCCCTGCCCGTCGGCCCCACTGCACCGATGCTGTGAGCCTCGTCCAGGTACAGGTATGCTTTATACTTCTCCTTCAAGGCGATGATTTCAGGTAGCCGTACTACTGAACCCTCCATGCTAAGGACAGATTCAGATGCATAAACAAGCTCGCATTACACACAAGCAAATTTTGTTGTTTTAAAGTGAAAGTAACTAACTGGATCCACCTTAAAACGTCTATAAATCAGTGTAGTTTGACCTGTCATGGTTGAGAAGCTCACATTTGTCGTTTTGCTACCACCGTACAACCAATGCTTCCCCCTCATGCTTTACACCCTTTAAGGCTAGAAATAGATAGAACGAGGAGCTGGGAAATGCTAAAATCCCTGACCCGCTGCTCTCTCTCCGGCTGACTCTGCAGCCAGAGTGAAAGAAGACAGAGCGGAACTGGGACATCAAAGGGAAAACCGGGATATGGATAAAGCATGTTTATACAGGCCTTTTGATGTTCCATGAAGGTGATGGATGGAGTCTTTCAGAGCTGCCATAAGAATGTATGAAGCTGACATTTCTTGCTACTGACTGTCGGAGCAGTCTGATAAAGTTAAATGAAAATTTGTCCTTTCTGTTTCATCTGTTTCGTCAACGTGTTTATTCTGGCGACCATGTTTAAGGTTTTCCGTAAGAACCACAAAGCGTCGTATTTAAAAACTAAAGTGAACAGACAGTTAAGGACAAACAGGTGGAAAAGTGAGGGAATCAAAAAGCTGTAACAAACAATTGGAACCGGGGGTTGAAGCCAAGTCAATCCTAGTGGCTCCATTTGGCCTTGATTTGGAGCTAATGAGCAGATGGAGAGGGTCAGTAAGACTTGGGACAGCTCTCTGCCAGGACACACACACACACACACACACACCCTTTTTCTTCTCTTCAATGATCAAACACAACCCAACTACACAAAAACACACACTCGCCCACCTGCAGGTGCACACACACAATCTATTATTCAAAGGGTTGGAAGGGAAGTCATTGAAAAACAGACCATTACTGAAGCCGTTGAGTACCAGCTCACCTCAGGTCCCCCCAAAATACAGATTTTAGAGCAAAAGTCGGCTAAATATTCCCAAGGAAGCTTGTCAAAAAGAGGGATACATGTAGACTCGAGAAATGTGTAAAAGCAATTAAAAAAGGAGGAAGAATGTGTTCTGTGATCAAAGCTGACCTGTAGATGCCTTCCACCATAATCAGGATCTTTCTCCAGGGTCTGCGCGTCCGGGGTTGGCCTGAGCAAACCGCCTCTTTCAGCATCTTCTCTAGACTGCACATGTCTGACAAAAAGAAAACACAAAATCATCAAAGATTCTACTGTTTAATTAAGTTTTGTGTCTGGATTTTACTATATAGTCTTATTTAAAATGTCAAGTAACTCCACACTCCATAGACTAAAGCAACACCAGGATCACACAGTGCAGTCAGGACTAGTTTGAAGCAACTATCAGAAACATATCAGAATACTAACCCTACCAACCAAACCGTTTTACCTGATAGAAACACCCTGGATTAACAGTTAACATCACATGTATTCATTTTCATCATGTCCCGTGATGACTGACCAAACTGGTGCTTGGACAAGCAGCTCTGACACGTTTGCTTCCGTTTCAGATTAAATTGAAGCATCTATGAGCTTCTGCACCAGCAGAGGGCAGTGTTGACCAGCTGTAGTTGCTTTAGTTAAATGCTATTGAAAGTGACTACAAATCAACCCTTTCCTGATGAGCAGCGGAAAACGCTCTGTCTAAATGATTGATATCACTGCCTCAACACATAAACGGGTTTACTAAGCAGCAGATGTGCCCTTCCTGACGTTCAACAGGACAGAGTGAATCTGGTTTCACCAAAAATCTGGGTGAAGGAGAGTGGACGATAGAGAACAAATGTTTCACAGTTTCGCTCTGATTTGAGATAAGCTTGGCCTGATATGAGATTGTGTTTGACTGCTTATCTGTGCCTCTACGTGGGACATGTGCGCACGGTTGTAAATGTCCATAAAATGTGACCATACTGTCTTGTCCTTGCTCTGCCCTCAAGCCTCAGCGATGCTGCTGGGTTAATAAGCAATAAATGTATAATAAAATATACAAATTTACTCAATGCTAAAGGAGTAAAAATGTAAAAGGGGGACAAACAATTATTAAAGGAGACATATTATGACTTTTTTCTTCAGATATAATTGTTCTATGGTCTAAACAAAACATGTTCTTTTCAATAAATCCCTCTCACATAAAGTGATGTCAGTGGTTTTATTCTTGACGGTTTCAGCACCTTCCAGAATGAGCCATGTCAGGGCTTTGTCACTTCAAGAAAACAAGCTGGAGCTGGCCACGCCCACCCAGCTCAGGCTACTACAAGCTGAGAAGCTCTCGATATCTGGGAAGGGCTCAGAGTAGAGCTGCTGCTGCACCTCCAGTAGCAGCTGTACTCCAGGTCAGACATGGTTTTGTTGTTATGTCCACCGTTTGTGACATCACAAATGGGGGCTTTTTTAAACAGCTCGTTTTAGGCACATAATTCTAAACCAAACTCAGACGGAAAACAGATGAACATATATTTTTTGCCACATTTGGAGTGTTTATAGAGGCAGTAGAGACCCACACGGCAGCCCCAAAGAATGAAAAATATGAGATGTGTGTCTCCTTTAATGAGTGATTTCATGATCTACCCAAGACCAGAATCCCAGGCTTGAGCCAGGTTTTAGGACTGTTTATCATGGAGTGTTTTCTCTGTGAGATGTAGTCAGATAAACTCCTCTTTTAAAAACTTTTGTATTTATAAAACTTGCTCAGCAAAGAAATAGTTGCATGACAGACCAGTACCAAGTGTTTGGGCCCTCTCAGGTGCCTGAGGGTTTTCTGCCTGTAGACTGGTCTCTGGGGCCTGATCGGTAGAGCCATAACTGGCTGAGCTTGTACCTGTCAGGACAGATTTGCTGCCAAAGCACAGGCTCACTTGTGATGTTGTTGTTTGCTCCCGAGGGAGTAGAGGTGGTTCTCCTGCAATCTTTTTGCAATTCGCTTTTTGATCACGTAATAAAAAACAGGGTTTAAGTTTTCATCCTGAAACGCTCCCTGTACGTGATACAGCAGCAGTTAGAGAAGAAGGGAGGTATGACTGTGCAGCTGCAGCTTCATCGCTAGACTTTCTCCTGAACAAAGTCCGAGCAGGTGGCTCTCAGAGACCCAACACACAGAGATCCAGCTTTAAACTGCAGACCATCCATCCATTTTCATCCGCTTATCCGGAGTCGGGTCGCGGGGGCAGCAGCCTAAGGCGAGAGGCCCAGACTTCCCTCTCCCCAGCCTCTTGGGCCAGCTCCTCCGGGGGAATCCCAAGGTGTTCCCTGGCCAGGTGAGAGACATAGTCCCTCCACCGTGTCCTGGGTCTACCTTTAGGTCTCCTCCTGGTTGGACGTGCCCAGAAAACTTCACCAGGGAGGCATCAAGGAGGCGTCCTGACCAGATGCCCGAGCCACCTCAACTGGCTCCTCTCGATGTGGAGGAGCAGCGGGTCTACTCCGAGCCCCTCCCGGATGACCGAGCTTCTCACCCTATCTCTAAGGGAGAGCCCAGCCACTCTTCGGAGAAAACTCATTTCGGCCGCTTGTATCCGCAATCTCGTTCTTTCGGTCACTACCCAAAGCTCGTGACCATAGGTGAGGGTAGGAACGTAGATCGCCTTCTGACTCAGCTCTCTCTTCACCACGACAGACCGGTACAACGCCCGCATCACTGCAGATGCAGCACCAATCCGCCTATCGATCTCACGCTCCAGTTTTCCCTCACTCCTGAACAAGACCCCGAGATACTTAAACTCCTCCACTTGGGGCAGGACCCCATCCCTGACCCGGAGAAGGCGTTCTACCCTTTTCCGAATCAAGACCATGGTCTCAGATTTAGAGGAGCTGATTCTCATCCCAGCTGCTTCACACTCGGCTGCAGACATTTTAGTAAAACCAAGCAAACGTGGATCTTGTTTGGCATAAATGATCATTGGGAGTGGAAGGCTCTATGACTGAGGATGGAGGGAGGATGCTGCCGGGCTTACTGTTGTGCTTGAACACCCGGATGGTTGCTCCTGACAGCCTGGCCCCCAGGATGAGAGATGTGTGATTGAGCTCATCGCTGATTATCAAGCAACCCTGGAAAGCAGCAAAACAGATGAAATCCAAGCTCAAACTAAAATTCTAATGCAGTTCTGAAAACTGATGAGAAAATTAGCTTGAGCACATGAAAGTGTTTTAGACTGCTTTAATGAGAAAACACAAAAAATACATCTGAACAACATCAGCATTTTGCAGTTTTTAAATATACTTCTGCATAGATAAATAAAACTCCAGCTGTGCAAAGCGGTTTGAGGTGTAAAATGTGCTGCTTAATAAAAAGGATTTGCAAGGCCAGTTCCTTGTCAGCTTATTCCACCTGCCCTGCCCCCATCCTTGTCTGAATCATGATCGTTTATGTCTCGGTCCTCCCTCTACCGCAGCAGTAGAAACATATTTTTCTTTTCTCCTTTGATGTCTGAAGGAGTTCTGACCCACATGCACATGTTGAGATTACAGCACATCATACTCTATAAAAGCAAGCATGACTTCAGCTGTTTCACAAATTTCCCTCTAAGAGCGTGTAGCGCTGAGGCGCTTTCCTCGCATGACCCTGTGAGGAGTGTCGGGAGGCGACACGGACACGGTGACAGATCAGCTCGGTTTGGCCTGGGGTCTAGCTGGTCTGGTCGCTGGTCTACCGGCAGCTGTCACTCTGACGCCCGCCTCCTGGCACACCCTGTCCCTGCAGGATGAGCCGGCAGCAGGAGTTGACCCCGGACTGCAGCCAAAGCGGCAGCTACACCTCTCGGGCTGCACAAAGCGAGCCCGCTCTCATCACTTAAGCCGTCACCCTCCTCTTCTTCTTGTCCGGTTGAATCAAAGATTCTCTCACTTTTTCTGCTGCCTCTGGTTCTCCACAGAACTCTGTTTGAACCAGTTTGATGTGCCAAGAGGCCAGAGTTAGCAGTCATACCCGTAAGTGCCGCTCATTACGAAACCTGCCCTTACTTGTCTGTGAGTTTAAGACCAGCCATGCGCACCCAGAGCCTTCTCCTCCAGGCTACTGTAATGTTTAATTATCATTTTAATTGACTGTGGTGGTTGAGAAATGTTGGTCCATTAGGTTGCCTTTTATTAATTTAGACAACATGTAATTAAAGGAATAGCTGCAGTAGGATTTCCTGGATTGGGTGAGTCAGACTAGTTGCTTACCTTGCCAACGAGTGCTGGAATGTTCATGGAGTTGGTTGCAAAGCCCATTCCAAAAGTCATGGAGGACTCGACTCCAAGGAACTCAGCCACAAGTTGCTCCAGTTCCTCGTGTAAGCTCAGGTTGCCTGTAAGATTACAAAAGCAGACATGGTTGGCTGGGATCAGTGGGCTTTAATCGTCGAGAAGATTTGCTGGTTTGTATCTTCCAGTTCCAAAAGAAATAAAGAAACATACAGCTGGATCAGCACCTGCATCGCCCACTTCGTTTAGACTGGTTCAGCAAGAATCAGAACTGGAATTTAGTTCAGAAAGTCTTTATCATTCCAGATTATAATTTCAAGTGTGCTTCTGTTAAGAAGAAGAAGAAGAAGAAGAAGAAGAAGAAGAAGAAGAAGAAGAAGAAGAAAATATCATTTCTATAGCGCCTCTCAAGATAAAAATCACGAGGAGCTTCACAAAAACAAAAAAATGTAAAAATATAAAAAAGCATTTAGAAAATGATTAAAAATATATATAAAATGAGCAACAATAGACAATTGTGATTAAAATGTTAAGAGAGAGAGTGAACAGGAAAGAGGGAAACCAGTGGATCCTGAGGAAGGTGGAATAGGTGGGGAGAGCAGAATAAAGAGAGAGAGGTGAAGAAGGTCATACAAAAGCCAGCTTGAACAAGTGAGTCTTCAGCTGCTTTTTAAAGGAGACCCCTGAGTCCACTGGTCTCTGGCTCAGGGGGAGAGAGGTCCAGAGTCTGGGGGCCACAGCAGCAGATGATCTGTCACCTTTGGTCGTTTAAATGTTTAAATGTTCTGCATCATCCTACAGGTTGTAGTTGGATTCCTCAGTGGCCTCAGGACTGACACACTACTGCATGTCCAAAGTGGGGCCCCGGGGGCCCCGGGGGCCATCTGAGGCCCTCAGAGGGACTTTGCATTTCTAGATAATGAATTTTAACCGCTGGTATAGAGTTTCTAACACTTTTGTGTTTGATTTTTTTTCACCATTGTTTCTCTTTTGGGCCTTTTTAGAAGAAAACAAAGAAGAAAAATATATATCACCAAAATTAGCATTTTAAAAATAAAATAAATGAAAATAAATTCAGTTTGTGGCTTGTGGGGACTATTAAATAAATAATATTTTCCCTCATTTTGAATAATTCGGACACCCATAGGCTCAAGGCCAAATAAAGCCAGGTGTACACTTTGTGATTTTTAATATGTTGTTGTTGTTGTTGTTGTTGTTGCCACAGTAAACATAAAAGCACAAAACTCTAGTCGCAGTTTTCCATGACTTGGTGTTTTTCTTTTTGGGACTCTGGTAGTTTGTCCTAAAGTCAACGAGGTAGCAGCCGGCTGTTTCTCCTTCTCTGATATTGCTGATTGGAGAACCTCTCACACCAGTGGTGTCCTGCTGCTGATGTGTAATGAAGCCAGGGAAGTGTGGCGGTCTGGCGCGACAGACAACCAGATGGTCCAATGGTTGGTTTCATATCGAGCCGTGTTATTGGTGGAGCTTTTTAGACAAATATGAAAGAACTACTTTATTCTTCGGTTTTCTTTTTATCTTCACAAAATACTTATACCTAAACAACATTAGAATGTTTTTGAGAGGCATAAAAAGTGTTTTAAGCTAGCTTGCTTTGCAGATTTGTCGTCGTAGCTTTAACCAATTTGTGTGAAATTCTAATTCAGCCTATCGGGAGGCTACCTGCAGTGAGTAGGAGGATAGTCCTAACACACTTCAGACAGGCTAAGATATCTACGTAAGAGGGTTCCTGAAGACCTGGCAGGACTAAGCAGTTGATTATAAACCAGCGTGACAGGTTTGAACCAGACTGATCTGTCACCTGAACTTAATCAGTCAGTATTTACAGGTGGGAGGAAGTGGTTAATTATTACTAAAAACAGAAATTTCAGAGTTACATGCGGCAGTCTAATCATTTATGTGTGATTGCAATCATGAAGACAAATGTGGCTAAACCTGTCCCTGAAAGCGTTGTAATCACGCTGCCTCTTAGGCGCTAGAGGGATGGTGCATGTACCGCATGCACACAGTGAGCTGTACAGTCCACACAGAGCGGGGACGGGCAGATGTGTCACGCAGCAGCAGAAAATGGAATTTTGAGTGACGGGCATAAAACTGTAATGAAATGAAGCCGCTCTGTCTTTATGGTGATGCCCATTCCCGTTCCATCAGGCCTCGCGCCAAGGTAGATCGATTCTTACATTTCCTCGACCGCTCAAGCACACGGCTTCTGCTGGCATGTGCAGCGTTTTTAATCAGACGGCGCTGGCATTTGCTCTCCTCAAAGAACATTTCCCTTGGCTGTGGCTTCATAGGCGCACCCTTATTGATATTTTAACCTTCAGAAGCTCACTTTAGGTCCAGCCACTCCTCAGGTGTGAGAGAGCCGTTATGAGTTGTTGGCTGGGTTAAGATAAAACCTTCATCTTATTGAGTTCTCTGTGAGGTTTCCTCTTTAACCTCCGGAATCGTCAAAGCTTGTTATCAAAAACCAGCGTTAAATATTTACAGCAGGGTGTGAAAGCAGCATAAAAAAATGAATCCGCTTAACGAGTGATTATAAATAGAGGAGTAACTCATGATCTTAACAGTTTGACCACGTTTAACATAAAACAGCTAATTTAGCTCTTCTACGTTAGCATAAAAGGGTATATTTTGTTAAACTTTAATAACTATGAGTTCAGTAGCTCCACCTAACTGCTAATAAGTTATTTAAGTGCTTAATAGACTAGATTAACTGACAGCAGGTTAATGATTGCAGGAAAAGCAGGAACGAGTCATTTATCTGACACACGTGTTGGTTTTCAGGGTGTGCTATCGCTGTGCCTTTTGCCTACTTTGTGTTAGCAGATGAATCACTGCAACGACTTTTCAATTAGAAATCTGGCAACACGTGCTTTTAATTCGTGAAATAATCCAATTTCAGTGTTTCACATGGAAAATGCTTTGAAATGTGTGGAAAACTCATTTAATCAATATGTTTGCAGTGGTCTCTGGTAGGAATGAACGCCTTGTACTTGAGACAAAAAGAGCCCGTGATGGCTTGGATCCTGCTGCCTCAGAGGGTGGCTGCAGACGGCAGGATTTAGAGTTATTTCCTGATGTTTGGACATCTTGCGTCTGATTGGATAACAGTAACGTGACTCTAGCACTGACTTACAACACAGATGTTTTAACTCCACAAATTACACAAGCCTGGAGGAGCTTCTGCTGTGTGGTGGGGTTGCTAATGCTAATGTTTAGCTTTTGCTAGCTGAGACGTCCTCAAACAACAACAGCCTTCCCCGTCGAGAATCCAGGTGGGTGAGTCCATGAACAGTAAGGCTTTTCTAATCCTAGAGTATCAGAAGCTAAAGCCGGAGATAGGTGTAGGAGACTATTTTCATGTTCAGCCTGCATGAAAATGTCAGTGACCCATTATAATCCAAAATAATCATTCTAAATGTTTTCTCAGTGAACCACACCTTTAAGCATAAATGGGTTTTTTGTGTTTCAAAGAATAAAATAGAGATAAACTGCTGAGGTAGAAACTGAGTGAAGAAATGTTGGATTTGGAGGATTTTTCTGCGCGTCACCTGTACAAATGCAGCCTCGCTGTGACTGAAGACATTCCCGGATCTTTAATTATTTATTCCTCATCTGGTCTCACGAGGGAAGAAAGCTTGTTTTTCTTTAACCCACCGAGTCAGCAGCTCAGACTAAAACAGTTCAGTTTTGAAAGGGAAATAAACATATGAATAAATCACATCAATGAATAATGGATGGTTGAAGGGAGATTGGTGAGGGAGTGGTTCTCTGACAAACATTCTTTGCTTTCTTCAGCGTCAGACAGCTGATATCATGCAACGCACGCTGGGACTCCGCTGATACGCCAGCTCATCTTTTGTGAGTCTGCACTCGGCAGATCCACCAGCAGAAATGTCACATTCTCAGCATTCATAACAAAAAAGAAAAGCAAAATGTCCCAACGAGCTCCGTGACGCTACCATCAAAACTTTAGACAAGTTATGCTCAGCTGACTGGCAATTATTAGAGCTCCCCGCTGCAAGATGACTCCAGATTCACGTCGCTGCTTCATTAGAAGATGAAAGGACAAAACATTATTCAAAATTCATCAGACCCCTATTTCTGATCCTTGCTGTTACAACACACCCGTGTGCACTCCGTCTGCATCCTGTTTAATGTCCTGGGGGTTGCTTAAAACCGTCAAACGTCTCACTTTAACATCCTCTCCTCCTCCATGGACCACTAGGAACTGATGACTATTGTGCATAATTTAAGGAAAGCTGAATAATTCATACAACACTGCAATCGCTGACACATAATTAAACATCTGCCCAGGATCGTTTTCAAGAATATAATAAACGATGGCGTATGGGCTGTGTCTTGTTGGTGTGTGACAGAAACTGCTGTATGAAGAGGAAGAAGACATTCCAGCCAACACACACGGCTTCCTTACTCCAGATTAAACACTAGCTGCTGTTGCTTCAGATTAAAGGCCACTCCTTGCACTAGGAGAACAAGAAGTGGCATTTTTTGTTTCTGTCTTTAGAACTTGACCACAAACGTACCAGTTTCCTGCCGTGTGCTGCAAACCGCGGCTCCATACCGCTGTAAGCGATCGGCTACACTTTTCAGGAAATCAGCGTTGTTCTCAGCAAAGCCGAGGTAGTTGTAAGAGCCCATGTTGATGACATTAGGTATCGACTTTCCAGTAAATCTGCAAGGATACAAACAGAATTCAGGATTTTATCCATTTAATGTGCGTTTGCAGCTGCAGTGCACACAGATCCTTTTATTCTTCTTGAATAAAGTACAAGTTACAGTCATATAAATATGCCATTTGCTGATCGGAAACATGCATTCGAACCCAGACTATGTTTACATGAAGAGAAAAGCAGTAAATAAATGAAGGGATCATTTTTAGTGATAAATCAAGAAAAAAAAAGACTTGAATTTTGACATTGTCTGAGCCTACATGTGGTAAAGAACTTTTACATTTCATCACCTGACCTACTTTTCCCCTCCACACCTCACGAGAACCTGCACACCACTTCACCAATTCGCCACACTTCACTGCAAAAGTCAAGCTGACTTCTGCCTATCTACTTCTTCCAGTCACATGAAAGCCCTTTAAACGCGTAATCCGTGCTTACCTCATATCCTTTTCCTTCCCTGTGGCTCGGCTCATTTTCTTTTTCATAATATATTCTCTGACCCTGCTGTGCAGCTCTGAGGAATATCAGTGGTGGTCCAGAAACTCATAAACATATTTGCATTCGGCCTATTTGCTGATGAAAAATACACCTGCCGATGATATTTCTATTGCCTCCTGGTGGAGGAGACACACAAAGGTAGACAATACAAACGATTCGGGCGTGTTATAAGCATTGGCGAGCCAAAACATCACACCCAAAGTGCTGCCAAACATGACAGAATCCAGACGTGGGCTCTACTGGACTCCTGGAGGTAATTTTTGAGGTCTTTAGCATGTTGGGTCTTCTAACAAGTCTAGCTTTTGAAGATGCACCAACTAAAAGTAGAGTCCAGTCTAAATCTAGAAATCTATTGTGATTTTTATCTGTTAAAGGGTCATTGGTTGGGCCCTAACCCTCTTACTTCAAGAGAAGGAATGGGGTCTGTTGTGTGATATCATCAAGAAGAGAGGGAGGACATTTTGACATTTGAATGGCTAAAGCTACCGTCCCTTCTGGAGTGAGCTGAAAGCCACGACTCATGCCGCGCACGCGCACACAAACAGCCCTGTAGCGCTAACGGACAAGTCGTGTTTTCAACATGTTCCTGCTCAGACAAACCTGATTCAAACTGCTGAATTAGCTCCTCAGCCTTCATCGGGTTCTGTGGGAGCTGCTGATCACTCATTTTAACCAAATCTGCAGTGTTCAAGCAGGGAAACGTCTGAATCCCACAAGAATCTGGGACTAACCCCACAGCAGGCTCAAACAACAGTCCGATGTATCGCTACGCTAACCACTTAGCTCCAACACAAAAGACTACGCTCTTTTAGTTCTTCCTCCTCTTCCCCAGTTAGCTTGAATTTTACACACTGACATTAATTCAATGCAGCTCGAGTTAGCATTCAAGCTAGGTTGATGTGCTAAGCTGATAGGCGCGTCACCCTCTAGTGCATGCTGGGAACTGGGGCTTGATTTCATTGATTGACAGTTCCTTCTCGTGGGTACACAACTTGATTGGCCAAAGCTCTATAAATGATTCGTTCTGCTGTAGAGGCCAGGGGAGGAACTGAGGGCAAGTAGCAGTTACCTACCTCATATCATAGAACAGGGTCTTCATTTTGAAGTTACTTTAACACTTTTTAACTACTCTCCCAAGTACTTTGGGGGTTCCTTCATAAATAAGGGAAGGACAGAGCAGGTGGATCAGGACAGCATCTGAATTAATATGGATGCAAAAACTGGATGTTGTGTCAAAGATGGAGCTAAGCCGAATGGTAGATATTCTGATGTCCTGGTCGACCTTCATGCAGACTCTCACCTGAGACTTTGGGTGACGATAGAAAGTACAGGATTGTTTGGTGAGGATCTCAGACATGCAGGAAGTAGAGCTGTTGCTCCTCTACTTTGAGATGACCCAGATGTGGCTGGGGTGCCTCACGAATGCCTTCCAGGCTGACCTGCATGGGAACACTTTGGCTTCCCACTGAAGGAGCTGGATGAACTAGCTGGGGAGAGTTGAGTCTGAGCTGCCTCGCTAGTGCTGCTGTTCCTATGACCCAGATCTGGATAAGAAGGCAAAGGTTACAATACCTGAAAGTCCAGTTGTAGTCGTCAGACACCCGCTCCATCAGGTCAAAGACGGGTCCCGGCAGGCTGCAGATGGGACGGTTCCAGTTGTCCCGCACTCGCATGTACAGGTTCCGAGTATAAAAGTTTTCAAAATCTTGATAAAGTGGAGTGAAATCCTGAGGATGAAAGGAAACTTGTTATTATAAGTTCAATTCTTTATGATCTGCAGCATCAGAAGGATAACTCTAGGCTTCACAGATCAGTTTTTATTTGTGAAGGGTCAGGGTTCTGCACGCTGATCTACTGGTGATGCTGAAACTAAAGCCACTCAAGACCTTGTCCTCATTTTCCTTCTGACTTCATTAACCTGGTGTATTCAATGGAAAGAGAACATAATCACAGATAAGAGCTGATGAAAGAACAGCTTGTATAAAACATGCAGCAGAATGTCTTCCTTCTTGAAAGCACTACTGCATTTGCCTACAGAGGCACAAAATAACAACAAATCACCCTCAAGAACACGCTGTTTAGGCCTTCTGTTTTTCTCCACTTGATTTCACAGACAAGACTGTAAAAATGGAAAGAACAGAAGCAAAATAACAAAGAAACGGCTGAGATTTAATTAGATCTTCAGCACAAATTCTCTTTGGTGTCCTGCCTCCCCCATGGCAACGCTATGCAGTAACAAAGAGCTGCACGGAGGAAGCAGGGCGGGGAGGGAGGGGGTTAAAAATATGAAGTATTGATGCCGAGAGTGCTTTTGGGTGCAGACTATGTAAAGCCAGCTCATTACCAACCTTCTGCTCTTCTCTTTCCTGGGCTACGTGGCACTTCTCTAAGCCCACCGCTCTCAGGAAGTCTCTGAAGTATCCAAACAGGGTGACCAGGCCGTAGCCCACGTAGGTCATGACGGCCACGTACATCGGCGGCTGCTCAAAGGACTCCTGCTTGTTCTGCCTGGGGTGGACGCCAGACTGCGGGCTGCTCTTCTGCTCCATGAGAGAGAAAAAAGACACAACTGAATGCAATAACCGTGCAAGAAACACGTCTCAGTTTCACACTAAAGACTTTACAGGATTCACTGTTGGGATGAACAACGGCACAAAAGCTACAAGTGCATTTCATACACAACAACAGCGTATGGGGTAAAGGTAAGCAAGGCGGCGCTCCTTTAACTCACATCGACTGTTCAAAAGGACAAATCTTGTTTAATAATTGACTTAATAGGATACTCTGATTTATTATTGCCTTTTTCTACTTCAGGGACGGTCTTAGTGGCTTATGACTGGGGTCATAAATGTGAGCGGAAGACAGCAGCAGAGGTAACTCAGGTATTTTTACGTTATCTACTCAGAAGTGAATGATCAGATTATTTATGGAAAACAGGTGTGCCACACCCTTTTGGTCATCAGGAGGAATGCTGAAGAACATGTTGGCACACCGGCTTCGCTCACACACGCCGCGCGGAGGTGGATCTGTCCTTTGACATGGACTGCTGTCAGCCCCAGTGCGCTGGACCGTTGACCCAGCCAGTTCTTTAACGTTTGACACCTTTGTTGGATTATGTGTTTACTCAGGTGAATCTATTGTTTGCAGTTTGCCACAGTGTACAACAAAGGCAGAGTAAATGAAACCACTGGAGTATTTTCTGAAATGTGCATCAGATCTTTTGACAACCGACTGCATGCTAACACATAAAACGTGTCGGAACATTTGGTTTGATGAGCTACATTTTGGCCTCTGACAGCTAAGATTAAGAGATTTGGACTGAATTTATTCAGGGATTATACTTTGTTGGACATCACGAATAAGCATCGAGTTTTTGGAAATGACTCTCCACTACTTCAATCATCTGTTTTATATTTGTTAATGTTTACTTAATTGTGTCATCTAGAATCAGATTAACTCCTAAAGGTAACCGCCTGTAGATGTACTCAGAATGATTGCATACTGATAGTTTCATTAAAGCATCTCCAGTGCTTCATCAGATGTCTTAGCAACACTAGAAACACACAGATGAAATCATCTCCACCTTTTGCCGTCTAGTGGCGGAAGATAATAAATCATTATCTTGTATAACTTTCTGGTGAGGAGACATATCTTCAATCCATCTAGTGGCGGAAGAGAACTTGGGCCTTTTCTCTTGTCTTAGTTTAAAGGGACAATGTGTAGTTTTTACCATTAATCTCTGGAAACATCCATTGAAATGTTGTTGTAATTGAATTAAAAGATACCCAGTTGTCAAAAAATATTGGCGGTTTCATAACATATAACCATAAAAATGGGGTCTAAAATACACAAGAGGGGGTCTAAGTCTCTGGGCGACGCCATAGTAGATGCCATGTTTCCTTCTACAGAAGCCTGTGAGGACAGATTGCATTCACTCATTTGTAACAAACGGTTACACAACTTTCAGTATTAATAAACATTGTTCTTTTACACATTTACCTTGTCGCTCATTGCGAGTGATGAAAGGGAATCTGATGCTCTTGTTGTTTTGCTGGAGGCTGCACTCTCAAGGATTTTTTGACACTAATGGCCGTCCGTTGGTAAGGTCTTATTTGGACACAAAAGTAATGCTTGCTTGCAATGATTTAGGTATCTACTGCCCCCTATCGCCAGAGAAACTACACACTGTCACTTTAAAGAAAATAACGTTAATTTCGTGGGGCTGTATGGTTGGTAGCGCTGTTGCCTCACAGCGAGTAGGTCTCCGGTTCAGATCCCGACTGCAGATGTGTCTTCTCCCCATGCATGCATGAGTTACTCCGGTTTCTTCCCAAAGAACAAAATCATGCATGTTTATTTAGGGCTGGACGATGTAAAAAAAAAAAAAGCTTATCGAAAAATAAAAAATAAATCACATTAACTGATATAGATAATTATTGAAATCTCTATAAAAATGTAGAAAATATATTTTAAATGCAGCCCTGGCTATTTTACACCATCACTTTATGATAAAACTAGTGTGTGAAGCGACTGGGATGAGGATCAGCACCTCCAAATCTGAGACCATGGTTCTCGACTGGAAAAGGGCGGTTTGCCAACTCCGGCTCGGGAGAGAGGTCCTGCCCCAAGTGGAGGAGTTTAAGTAACTCGGGGTCCTTCTCACGAGTGAGGGAAGGAGGGAGCGGGAGATCGACAGGCAGATTGGTTCAGCGTCTGCAGTGATGCGGACGCTAAACAGATCTGTCGTGCTGAAGAGAGACCTGAGCCAGAAAGCCAGGCTCTCAATTTACCGGTCGATCTACGTCCCAATCCTCACCTATGGTCATGAGCTTTGGGTGATGACTGAAAGAACGAGATCGCAGATTCAAGTGGCCAAAATGAGTTTCCTTCACAGGGTGGCCGGGTTCCGCTTTAGGGATAGGGTAAGGAACTCAGACATCCGGGAGGGACTCGGAGTGGAGCTGCTACTCCTCATCATCGAAAGGAGCCAGTTGGGGTGGTTCGGGCATCTGGTCAGGATGCTTCCTGGACACCTCCCTCGAGAGGTGTTTTGGGCATGTCCTGCCGGCAGGAGGCCTCCTGGTCGACCCAGGACTACCTGGAGGAAATACATCTCTGGGTTGGCCTGGGAACGCCTGGGTGTCCCAGCTGAGGAGCTGGCGGATGTGACCGGGGAGAGGATTGCCTGGGAGGCCCTACTTGGGATGTTGCCCCTGCGACCCGGATGAGCAGGAGGAAGGTGAGGGGAGGTGAGGTGAGGCTGCGTTACCAGACTTGTTTTTTATCGATTCTCTGCAAATGTTGTTTTTTGTCACACTCGTAAGAATGAAATAATACCACACTGGTGAGGCACTCCAACATTTTTTGCGGGCAATTTCTTCCATCTCTCCTTGCTGCAACATCTTGTTTAATTCCCATTGCTGTCTAGGTTTGGGGGGGGGGGGGGGGGGGGGGGGGCTTGGTGACGGAGCGTGCTTGGGTCTGTGTTTTTGATTGGTTGGGTGGAAGTAATGACTCCAGTATGAAGCTACCAGATAGGCTATAATGGAAAATGGAAACTTTTTATCAAAGTTTTTATTGATCCATTTGTTTCCTATTGCACAACATGTCTATTGATTAATATATTGAATTTTTGTCCCGCTTGTTTAGCTTAATTGTTGTTTCTGACATAGGAGTGCCCAGTCCTGGTCCATGAGCACCGTTCCGACCCACCTGATTTTAATAAGTAGGTTCTTAACAGACTTCTGCAGAGCTTGGTGATCCAGCCACTGGAACTGGGCGTGTTGGAGCAGGGAAACAACTAAAACATGATGGATAGCAACATTCGAGGAGCAGGTTTACACATCTTTGGTCTAAACAAGGGGTGCCCAATCCTGGTCCTGGTGGGTTGGTATCCAGCTTGTTTTGGTTCTTTCCCTGCTTCAACACACTTTGTTTCAATAAGCAGGTGATTAACAAGCTTTTGCAGAGCTTGAAGAGCTGCTGAACAGGTGATTCAAACACTGAATCATGGGTGTTGGAGCAGAGCAACAAATAAAGCAAGCTGGATAAAGTTAAAGTCCCACTAGTCATCACACACTGGTGAAATTACATCTCCGTATTCGACCCATCCCCATTTGGAGCGGTGAGCTGCAGCAGTGGCTGCACTCAGGAACTATTTTGCGGTTTAATCCCCAAATACAACCCCTAAAGCTGACTGCCAAGCGGAGAGGCATTGGTTCCCATTTTTTAAGTCGTTGGTATGACCCGACTAGGGGCTCCGGCCAATATGTGTCCTTAGTAAAGCCAATTTTAAGTCAGGCACTTCCTTGGGCAGCCCGGTGCTTTTGCAGAATTTAATTTAAATGTACTTTTACATTCACTAATAACATCTGCATGATAAATACTCTATATTAACTTTATTTAGATGTCTGACTTAAACGCTGACTTTAACAGATAAATTCAGAGTTCAAATACTGATTCAGCTTCAGACATTGTGGTGGACTGGAGACTTGTCCAGGGTGTCCCTGCTCTTGCCCGATGACTGCTGGAGTTAGGCGCCAGCTCCATGTGACTCTACTGGGGGGTAACCAGCTCAGAAAACAAGAGAGTGATTTGTGTGAGCTGCAACAACTGCAGAGCTGCGATAAATTAGCAAATGTTTGACAAAACGTAAGCGACAAGGGCATTACATATATGTATTAATAACGGTAATAAGATAAATAATAACAATAATTTAAACTGTGAATCTCCTGAAATCATTTTCCTACACAGATCATGTTCAACTTATGACTAGAAGAGTGAAGATGGGAGTGAACTATTGAGGATATGTCCCATCAGAGTACACAACAGGCCTATTATTCAGCCCTCTGATGTTGTTGAGATCAGGGTGCAATTGTTTTATACTAATATTATTTATAGGAACATATAATTGCTTTGTAGACTGAGAATAAGTCATCTATTAAGCAGAACAAGAGGGTGGACTGAAGGAAGCAGAAACTAAAGCTCAGCTGCTGCCTGGAGGCAGAGAATTTGTCCTTTGGGAGAGAAGAGGCAGCATTTCAAGGTGGGGTCACAGAATGTGTGTGTGTGGAGCTTTTCATGAACCCGACATTAAACACTGTTAGTAACCACTGACCGAAACCAGCCACCCTGTTTGGTCTCTGCAGGAGGAGGATATGCTAAGTGTATCCGGGAAAGACAAAGTTTAATATGTTATGTCATCAAGGTCAATTCAGGTGAGAAACCGCAAAGAAAACCCCGCACTCACTTCCCAGGTGAGGAGTAGGCTACCTGCCGCACCTTGATAAAGTATCACATAAGGCAAGAATTAGGGATTAGGAGAGAGACAAATGAGAGAGAGCAACACGCGTACCTCTCTGGGGTTATGAAAGCCATTCCCCACCAACTCCTCGGTTTTCAGTCCGTTCGGTTGCGGTTTTAGGTTCCCCTCGGCGGTTCTGGCCATGCTCACCGTCACAGCTCACAGGTGCGACTGTCTCTTTGCGACTCAAGGAAGCAAACGACACGGTGAGCCTAACCGAACTCCCAAAGTTGACTTCCTCTTTCTGTTGTGTCGGTTCAGCCTCCCCTCACGCGGCTGCAGGCTTCTGTACGAAGGTCTTTCCTCATTCTTAATCGATTTCTGTTTCGATGCAGAGCCAGTTCAACTTCTGCTCGTTCTAGAATGAAACTCAACCCTCTAACTTGACATGTCTCATCCAGTTTAGATGTTTCCCATCTTTCCTGCGTCACGTGAACGCAACAGATCAGCAAAACAAAATCTTCAGTATTTTACTCTGAACAGAGTGTTATAACACTGCACCTATTTATTAATTACTATACAACTATAAATATTTAATATCATTTAGGCTGTATGAAATGTAGTATATTAACAATTATAATTTAATATTCTCACTATTTCAAATATGAAATAGGTTCTGCTGGCACATTTCCAGTTATTTCACATTAATTCATGTTTATTAGTTATTTGTAATACTTAAGTTGTTAGATCAACTAAGATGGGTTCCATTTGTGTTGCCCATTCACAACCCACGTACCCTTAAAACATAGCCTATTTGGGCTAAACTTGGTTAACCCAAGTGGGTCCCAAATTAGACGCCCATTTTAAGCCCATGTTCTCTTGGAACAATAGCTCAAGTACCATGTGGGTCCCACATACATGTGTTTGCTGGGTGAGCTAGGGCTTCTGTTTACGTCAAATTTCAGTGTCAACATTAAAATGCTCATCATCTAGAAAAGGCTCTGGAAAAAATCAACTTTTCATCCAGCAAGATTGATAAGCTAATGGGTAGTAATATGACACCATCTGCTCTGACATCAAAGCGTCATGAACGCCTGTGTTGCTTTTATTTAATTCACATTCTCCCCACATTTAATTTTACATTAAACATTTATTTAACCCTCTGATGCAATAATTACGAAATCTTCAACCATGATTTTTTAACAATTATTTTCATTCATCTTCTGGTGTGAATGAAACAAATTTCAACAAATATTTTCTGTAACATTTGTAATGTTAGATAAATAGTATATTTGGTTAAGTAAATTGCTTTAAGAACTATTTATATTATTAACACTACTTGAGACCAATAAGCTGTAATACTCTGTTTAAATATAGAATATCACCTTTCCTGTTCTTTATCCGTTTAGTCAGAAGATTCTAAGATTATTTTATTCATTAAGGGATCGTACATTCTTCGTTTTGATTCAAGAAGCAGGCAGGTTTATAAAAACTTAAGAATCTATTTTACAAACAACTAACACTTGACAAAATGTTTGAACTATTATTTACTGTGAGTGGATGCGAACTAAGGATGGTGTCTGGAACTTATGTGTGAATATAATGTAATGGAGTCAGAATCTCCATTTCTCAGAGAGCTGAGTTCTGGACGTAAAAGAATTTGGTTTGCAAATAAGCTATGAAGTTATTTTCAAAACCACATACAGACGCTATCTCGCTGTGTTCTACCTCACCCGTTCTGGAGACCCCCGTTTGGATCCGAAATGTCAAGGAGCCGACGACCCCACTGCGCTTGGTTCATAGATAAACCTCCATGCGACCAAATCAGTCCTGGGATGTCTCCGGGTCACAACGATAGATGAAACCGAGCGTCTTAAAAATAACTCTGAAGGAGTTTGCGTCAACTTTGTACTGCAGGAAACTATCTTGTCGTTCTCAGCTTCACAGGTGCGAAAAAGGTTTAAGGTTTTTACAACATGTCAAAATCCTTCTGGTTAAAGAGGTGCTAAAGATGGCCGGTCTGAAGCTCGCTCTAGAACTGACAAATTACTCCAAGCCATCTTGTTTTAAGGAATCGATATTCTGATCTGGCCAGCCAATCAGGGGCTGACAAGTTTGAGAGATGTTCCCAAGAATCTCAGAACACACCCTCTTTGATATGGAGACTATGAATCTGGGCAAAAGGTTAACTATGTGTTATGCGTTAGCTTAACCTAACTCTGTCTTGTATGAGTGCAAATGGTGATGACCTCATTCAGTAAACATGCTAAGCATATATTTTGGCAAGTTAAGAGAGGACGCTTTCAGTATGTCTGGCGCATTAATGGTTTCCTTTTCAGAATCAGAATCAGAATTAATTTTATTGCCAGCGCTCCAGCGATCCAGAGCATAGGAACTTGACTCCACAGTACAGCCTGACCAAGATTACACACACACATATATAGACAGGACAGATACAGGCAGACCACGAGAGCAGCCATGACGGCGCTTCTAAATGCGGCTGTGCACCACCTGGCTACCGTTAAAAAATGCACTTAGGGCATGAGCTGAGCATGCGCTGACGGCCGATCACCGGATACACGGCAGCGTTTGAAGCTGATGGCAGCTCGTTAACAAACATCCACAAACAATTAAGACGCATTTTTGCCTAATTTATCTCCTGACAACGCAAAAAATAATCTGGTAAGTAAAACTCACTCAACCTGAAGGTAAGTGGAGAAAATTTAGAAAGTTTACAAAACTATATTGACAGAGTTTTTGAGTTTTTCGTTATGGGTCCGAAGAAATCAGCAGCTGAGCCTGAAACACCTGGGACCAAGAGGAGCCGTCCTCGGGACTCGCCTGAGGCCTCATCTCCCCGTAAGGACGTATTAGAATGATTAGATTCTATAGATAAATCGCTTCTGGGATTTGAGGGGCAACTACATCTGCTTGAGGTTCTACACCAGGAGTTTCAGAACCTCCGAACATCTTTGGAGTTCAGCCAGGAGCAGGTGGAGCGGCTCGCTTCTGAGAACGCGTCTCTGCGGGAGTCCGTTTCTTCCCTGGAAGAGGGAATGACGCGGATCACCCAGGACAACAAGACTCTGAAGGAGACGATTTTGGACCTTCAGGCCCGTAGCATGAGGGATAATCTGGTGTTCGCAGGCCTCCCGGAGCAGACGGGAGGGGCGGAGAACTGCGAGCATACAATCAAGAACTTTTTCCAGACCCAAATGAAGATACCCAAAGAAACGGTAAAAAACATCACCTTTCACCGGGTACATCACCTTGGAGCTAGACGAGTGCACAGCAGAAGACCTCGTCCCATCGTGGCTACATTTGAACATTTTAAGTAGAAGGATCTTGTTAAAAGTCACGGAAGAGAGCTCAAAGGAAAAGACTTCAGCGTAAATGATCAGTTCCCGAAGGAAATTCTGGATCGGTGCTGAGTCCTCTTTCCGCTGCGCAAAAATTTTATCCAGGATGGGAAGAGGGCTGTCATCTCGGTGGATAAGCTTTATGTGGACAATAAACTTTACAAGGAGCGAGGAGTGACTGACTGGCTGTATTAGCCCAACATCAGGTCAGACATTTATCATTCTTACCAGGATTCACTGGGTTTGATCACGTCAGGATTAAACAGCTGCTAAATCCGTTCTCTAGATGATGAGATCACCTGTTCATCACCACTTCACACCCCTATCACCTTTTCTTTTTAGTTCTTTCTTCTTTTTTAACCTGCATCTGTATTTTCCCTTCCTCTTTACCTGCTTCTGTACCTTTACACCTGTATGGCATAACCACACAACTTTCCAACACTGCATCAGACTCGACACACACACACACGCACACACACACACACGCGCACACACACACACACACACACACACACACACACACACACACACACACACACACACATAGATATTTTAAATTCACAGCACAATATCATAATTTATGCGTCAAATAATACAACCACAAACACAGTTGGATCTTTTTTATTATTATTATTATTTACTTTTCTGTTATTTATTAACATACTATTTATACATTTATATACTTATTCCATCTTATTCACGTGAAGGCGTCACATTATAGCTACTCACACACACATCTATGGGTGCACTAAGGTTTGTCTCATGGAAAGTATATGGAGCTGGCTCCATAGAGAAAAGATTAAAGATTTTTGATCAGCTAAAGAGAGTGCAAGCAGACGTAATATTGTTACAAGAGACTCATAGATCTGCCACATCCACAGATGAACTTAAAACACCTGAGTTTCCCAGCATGTTCTCTGCCTGCTATAACTCTAGGCAAAGAGGTGTAGCTATTTTAATACACAAAAACATCAATTTCACAGTACTGGACACAGTCTCTGATCCAGAGGGTAGATTTATAATGTTAAAAATATCTATACAGAACCAAAGCTTATGTATTGTCAGCATATACTGTCCAAATATTGATGACCCTCCATTCTTTCATAATTTTTTCTCTGTACTCTCTGAACACTTGGACTGTCCACTTATACTTGGAGGTGATTTTAATTTTTGGATGAATTCCTTAACAGACAGGCTCAGTACAGCTGGGACTCAGCGCAATTGGCAATCCACTAATGTAGTTAAACAGTACATGAGTGATTATGGGCTTTGTGATGCATGGCGATCTCTTCATCCTAACCGTAGAGAGTATACTTTTTTCTCACACTTCCATCACTCTCATTCATGTTTGGATTATTTTCTAGTCAGCAGCTCATTGTTGGCTGACATTTCAGACACTGACCCCGGCTTTCCACGGGAGCCGTCAGCAGCACGTTACTGCAGCAGCACGTCATAGCTGCTGATAGGAACCGCTGTGGTCAACAGAACCTTTTCCACCAGAGCCGTCAGCAGCGCGGGTCGGCCGCGTCTCAGGAGCAGCATGTCGCGGCCCTTACGCGCCGGTTCTGTTTTCTACGCGCTACGCCTCTGAAACGGGTCAAGTTCGACATATTTGGGGAAGGAAAGACTGGAAATCGGATGTGGAAATGGAGAGAAGCTACCGAGATTTTCAGAATAAAGAACGTACTGCCTTCCGGTTGCTTTACTTTTAAAAAAGGTTACTAACTGTGCGTCCCCGTGAGAAGTTATCACCTAGCTAGCGGTCTCCTTTGTTTTTCAGGTCCGTATTGGCGATTATAAAACGGACAGAACATAAAAATCAACCATGTTGTAATTTTCTCCTGCTTGTTGTTGTGTTTACTGACCAAGTCACTCGTGTGACTTCGTGCTTTGTCGGTGACAGCTGCTCCCCTGCTGCTTCGCGTCTCGTGGGAAGGGCCAAGCAGCAGCTTACGCGAGCAAGACGTGCTGCTGAAGTAACGTGCTGCTGACGGCTCCCGTGGAAACCCGGGGTTAGATACATCCCATAGCTGTCAGCGACCATGCTCCGGTTTCTTTTACTCTGGTAAACAAGA